GGCATAGCTGTCACATCATATACAAACATTACTGTATCACAATCATGTCAGAAAGAATAGTCATACTAATGCCACCTCGTTAGTCACATATATAAAATCCCCTAAACTATCTAACCAACTTGTATCTGGTGTATTTGTCTAATCTGATCGAGTACATCTGATTCCCTGGATCAAATGTGGTTTGAGGTTAGACCGCACTCCCAGGATACCGCCTTCTGCTCTGACGTGGCCAGCCAAAATGTACTTCGTTTTGGTATCCTCTTCCTCTTATGAGTAAGAGGGAGTTCAGTACTGCTCCTCCATGAAGAATTCGATGATCTAGGCGTTGACGGAGGGTATTGCGATGCCAATGGTGAGGGGCTACTTGCGTGCCTTGGCACGCAATATCTACTGTTGAAAGGCAGGGATCTCTAGAAACACCATGCAGTTGACCTCTCAACATAAAATCAATTTGACCTTGCCTTTTTCAATATTTTGATAATAATTCCTTCTTCCTGCCTGAAAATACATGTATTCCTCGACAGTATGTGCTCCTTTTCAGTTTAGCTTCGATTTCTCACCCTTTCATTTTTTTTTGACATTGCTGCTGTCGTTTATATTTTCTAGATATAAAGAGGGCAATCTCTAGACCTTCCCTGATCCTCTAATCTTACAGGTCCCAGTGCAAAAAGAAAGACATTTCGAACTTAATCCTGAATTATCTTCATAAGCTATTAGCTTAACACGTTTTTTGTTCATTTCTAGTAGAATTTTTAGTTTCTCTGCGTTATATAGATAAATTTATCTCCGAATATGACCAACAGCTTGTCGCCAAGAGAAGGACCAAGACGAGTGACCGTCGCTCGAAGTTGATGAGCATGAAATAGAAGATGATGAGCATGATGACCAAGAAGATCTGATACTATGGCGGGGATCTGGAGCCTTGATCCACACTGACGGTAACAAGAGCTGACTTCTTATAATACCAGCATTTGGTCTTGCTATCCGACAGCCAACCCTTTACTTTGGTCGGTGTGGCTTGTGCTACCTCTGAGCTCGGAATGAAGGTTTCTTATTCATTATTCATATTATTTTATTTAAATTGACGCGCTCGTGGTGAATTCCGTAAGTAGGGGAGGCCTGCCTGATCAATATGTACAATATGGTTCCGAAAGGATGGCAATATGGAGTTCAATATGTATTTCTTCTGTTGCAGATTTTGTGTCCAGAAGTGAAGCTTAGAAAATGCCTCAGCTTATTCATGCTTGCATTCATGGACATATCTTTGAATAAAAGGATTTTCGAGAGTCCGGCTTATGGCAGCAATCACTCACACCATGATTACATGCAAAAAGATTGTCATGTTGATGATTTACCTAAGGAAATTTTCCGAGCTGACAATTGGAATGTCCAGTGGCTCTTACATGACTACACCAACTATACTCATCTCTTCTCGAGCCCTGAAGGGAGTACAACGCAAAGCGCTCGTGGCGAGCGTCATTGATTGGAAGCAGAGCAAAGAAAATTATAAAATCGTGTGATCTGTTGATAAATATAACAGAAAAAATATCATGGTGACTAATCATTTACCATTTTTTTAGAGAGCCAAATACTAGCAGGGGAGGAGCATGGCCTTCATATCACTAAGTAGTCAAGCACTTATAAGGACTAGCTAAAATCCTACTGTTATCAGTCGTGTGATCTGTTGATAAATATAACAGAAAAAATATCATGGTGACTAATCATTTACCATTTTTTTAGAGAGCCAAATACTAGCAGGGGAGGAGCATGGCCTTCATATCAGTAAGTAGTCAAGCACTTATAAGGACTAGCTAAAATCCTACTGTTATCAGTCCTCACGACCTGGAGCATATCTTAATAGGAACCCCGAAAAGCTGACGCAGATGACGCGTCAAATACTAATCATATCGACTTATATATGTTTTGTACATTCTGGTAACAGGAACTCAAATATTGTGTGAGTTACTATAGTATTAAAGTACTACGAGTTAATATACTACGATTACAAGGTACTCGTTTAATCGTACGCAGCGCGAGAAGGCCTATGGTTTGAACTGGGATGACCTGGAACTGACCTGGAGAAGTTCCTCAGCATTTAGGGCGAGCTGCAACTCTGCGAGTACAAATAGCTGAAGGGGCCTGCAATGAAATCATCCTCTATTGCAGGCAGCGATACGATCCAGTGCTTCACCTGTCATAAAGTGCAAGCTTTTGATAGGAGGAGTAGCACTGGGAAGTCCACTCTCTGATCGAGTCAAAGGTAAAGTGGGGCAGGGATCTGAAGAATGTGTAGAAGCCATGCAATTCAAGATTCAAAAGACTTTGTTCGTTTCGTTGTTTCAATTCCACCATTCTGATTGCTAATCCGTCAATTTTTTAACCAATCAAAGGCTACAGGACAGAATAATCAGGTACTGAATTCTGTTCCAGTTTACATGCGAAACGATAAAAAATGAATGTGTTGATGTCTACAGGACTTTCTGCTACCAATGTTATCTGCTCTATGTCGACTATTCAGGTACAGAACCAAGAGTCTTATAGCCAGTTTGTTAACAGTGTCACTTTCGCTTCGCTCATCTTGCAGGTCCGATCACAACAAGGCAGCAACTCCGATAAGAATCATGACAAAGCTGAAAACCGAAACTTTGTTTCTGGCCTCGGCCGTGGTGATTCTGTCGTTGTCCGTCCTCCAGGGTGCGCAGGCCGTGGACTACCTCTTCTGGGACGGGCCTACTTGTTCGGGGCTTGTGCAGAGTCTCTGCACCTCAATCAGCAACGGAAGCTGCTGCGTCTCGGACAACCCCTATCAATCGCTGCAGGTCCGAGGCGACAGATGCCAATGGAGCACGGCATTCAAGGACGGCGACTGTGCCGCAAACATCACAGTAGAGACGAAGAATGGCTCCATCTGCTTCGACAGCGGCGGTCCCACTTACACCGCCGCGAGCTGGCAGAGCAGATGTATCAATGGCACTCCCATCGTGGAGGCTCCGATTCCAGCTGCCAACGTAACTCTCAACGGGACGAGTAACGCAACCACCAATGTGACGATCCCTGGAGCTCGCCGAAGATCTCTTCTTGGCGAGTTTACGAATGTACTGCCGGGTCTGGATTGCACACGGCATGTGGAGGTGGACGATAATGTGATTTACTACCGAGAAGATCCAACGAAGTTTGTGTGGAGCCTTCGTGTCAATAAAGAAGACAAGGCTGCGATGCTGCAGGAATTCGCAGCCGTGCCCAAGTCGGAAAAAGTCTTCTGGCTGTTTACTCATGGTGCTACGTACGACGTGGAGGCGTCAGCGAGCTCGTTCGAGCTTGTTGTGGCCTAAGCTGTAATCGAGGTCCTGGTGGAGGCTTGGAGAGGTGGATGTTGGGTCTCGTAGAATTTAGAATGTATCTTGTACGGGAAGTGGATTCTGAAACAATTAGTTGTCGATTCAGATCTGTGGATTTTATCTCTTAGGTGCGTGTGTAGATTACCTCATTGATTCCATTCATTGTCACAATTATCAATAAAATGCCCAAACGACTGGCATTCAGATTAATATATGGGATAATAGATTGAAGATTTTGAAACCGATTGCCTCTATGGGTCTTCTCTTATTTATATCAAACGATGCGTGGTGAGGCTATGATTGCCTCCAGGTATGTCCTGATCCTCGACCCATATTGCAATGCTGTTAGTCTGCTTCGTGCTTGTTGTCACAACATTGGAGAAAATGAGTCCATGGTTCCAGCTCTGAATTGAATATTGTATAGGCTATGTCCGCTATTACTGTCAATTTTTCATGTATTTATCTTTACAACTTTACAGCAGCCAATAGATGGTACTTAAAATCTCTTGAGTTTGAGAACCGTTGATCTTGGTTCTCATAGAATTTGGTACTCATAGAATGTGGTCACGACGGCTAGAAAATTTGGTGTAACTCTAATGGATTGCAAATTTTCCCATAAAAGCTTGTGAATTATAATGTCAAAAACTTTATTAAAATTGATCAAGTCGCAAACAAAACTTTCCCATTGCCGTTAGATTTTACCCATAAAAGAAATAGGACGAAATAAAATCAATAATGTTGTATGTAGTGGAAAAGCAAGCTGAATTCAAGGTATCTTTTGAAAAGATTTTGTTCACGTGATCAATTTTGGCTTCACCAATTTTTTAATTAATTCGGCAACAACATTATTCACGATGATAGTGGGATAATTTATCACCAAGTAAACTTTTCCATAAAACAAACTTCCTAGTTTTGTGATTGATTTAACCATTACAAGTACACCATAAATTGCATCAATTACCATTTACCATCAATTTAATGAAATATTATTTGCTTTGGCGATTATGTTAAAGAGAAGTTGGCGCTCGGCCTGCTTTAGATCCACATGGAAATAAATGCTTTATGTAAAGCATTTCTTCGAGATCAATGAAACTAACAACAAGATGGGAAAGCCTTTCATGCAGGTTAATTACATATTGACGAACATTTTTTTAGTATTTCCTCCCGCTTGTGTTGCAGCTTCACTAACATAGTGCTCGCCAACTAGAGCTCTTGAAGCTTCGCTATTGCTCAACTTCTCTACTATATCACATCGCTGTCATTGCATTCTAATCAAAAGATTAAGAAGTGATTCGCCTAAGTACGCACAATACTCCCACGTTCAAGGTGAGTACTTAGGCAAGTCATAGAAAAGGCCAACCTGGTCAATCCATGCGAAGTCTAATATGTTGTACTACATTGAGTTTCAAAACTTTTCACGTAGCTAAGAGTGGATCAACTGTACCCATGGCAAATTTTCCATACCCATTACACAATCATCCATACCCAACTAATACCCATGAGTCATCATATAAACTTTCATTTCAAGTTGTAAAATTAACTTTAACCAACAATATAATAAGAACAAAACATGTGATACAACTACAGTCACTACATAATGTCATTATATGCAAATGAAATTTTCAAACGCATGACATGGCCATGGCTCAAATAAAATGTCTCATGATTTTCAGGTGGAGCATGTTGATTGACTCCATTTGTGGAACCATAAAAAGTTACGTTAGAGTTTTTGTTGGAAGTGTACATTGGGTAAATATCCATTCCTTACCCACCCATGCATTCTAGCCCATACCCATTACCCACCCATTTATCTATGGGTATGGATACACATTGCAGGACTTTGCTGTCGATGTACATGCATCCGCAACAGGTGGGCCAGGAGAGAAGTGTGAGAATTGTTTAGGGAGCGCGCCTCTCTATCGGCCGTGAATTGGATCTGATAGTGCATGCAGGAGTCGTCGAGCTGCTGCCCATGCTGGCCCAAGTCTAGAAGCTTCTTGAACTGGGGACCGCGGGTGGGAAGATCTCTGAGGCCACGGAAAATGGCCTGGATGGCCTTGACGCTGACGTAGTCGGCGCGGGTTTGTTCCTTGAGGCGCGCGGCGAATTCTTGGAGCTCTTTCTTGTGTTTGTTAGATCTGTCAGTCAGATCCTTGATCCTGTCGAGGATCCATTTCCTCCTGTCTTCATCCACGTGGTGGTCTAGCTCCTTACGTAGCTGACGGACCTGGCGGTCCAGGTATCTCGACGTGTAGTCGTTTGTGCAGGTGAAGCTGTGTTCCTGCAGAAAGAAAGCGAACTTGATCTGCGCGTCGTTAATGTACTTCTTCTCCTTTTCGAGCTCCATCACCTTCGTCTCGATGTCTTTGAGTGCTGCTGCTGGGTCGTGGCCGTCTTTCGGTCCTTCTGGTTCCATTCGTCTCAGTTCCTGCTTCGTCTCGTGGGTTACGAATTTGTGATCCCCGGCAGGACAATTGCATTTAATGCACTTGCCCGCGAGCATCGACATAGACGAACATAGACGAACGCTTATTGCTTGGAATAAGGACAATTCGTAGCCGGTGCACCGATCGTGGCATACTCTATAGAGGGTCTGCATCCGGCCGTCTTTGAGGTCGTCGTAGGTCGTGCAGGCAGGGCTCGTGCAAATGGTTCTTGGGTAAGGTAGCTTGTAACTGGTTGATTCTACCACCTTGGTTGGCTCCTTTAGGACCTTCCTCAACTTGTCCACATCCTCTTTCGTGTCCTCGATCTCCTTACGCTTCCGCTCTATGGCAATCGAGTTCTTGTTTATCTCTTCTGATAGCCTTATCATGGGCTCCTCCAGGCTCTCAATGATATTCTTGACTTTCATGATGGCCACCGTTTCGTTGCTCAGATGAGCTCCGACGGAGTTGAACGTGGACAAGAGTCTGATACATGCTCCGACCGATTGATCCCAGCTTCTGCTTGGTGGTTCGGTTTGGAAACTTGTTCCTTGCGGCTTCTGGCATGCTGCCAAGTACCGAAACGCTTCATTGTCGAAGCAGTACATGGTGCTCTCCGTAATCTCCACACTTTCTTGCTTCTTCTGACGAATTCTATCCAGTAGAGTTAGGAGTTGCGTTCGAGTTTCACCGACGTGGAAGTTGGTGGACCTCGCGCTGGTAAAACAGAATGCAATGTTGCTCCTGGCATTCTTGTGAAGGTGCACCAGTAACTCCGTGATACAATACTCCAGCATCTTACTCAGCCGCGACTCGTTGGGCTTTAGGAGAATGCAGATCCCATGGATGTGTTCGAACTTCTTCAGTTGGATCAAGATGTTCTTGATATTATTCTTATCCCAAGCCGATCCCCTCGTATCTCCAATACCCGGTGTGTCTATGAGACGGACGGACAGCCCCTGCTTGCCGGAATCGGCCTCTATTCTGAAGAGGTATGACTTGCATCTCTGCGTGCAGGACTGAGACGGATCTTCGAAATTCTCATCCTCCAGACAAGAGTCACCCACAGTTACGGTATTTTCATTCATAGACCGGTCGAGTTCGGTGAACTGGCTGGGCACTGCAACTTTCACCCCACCTTGCTCAGCTTCTTTTAAGGAATCGTACGACAAATAATTGTAGAAAGCATTGATGAAAGTTGACTTGCCAACTCCTGTCTGACCCAGAAGAAGGAGATTCATCACGTCACTTGACTGGCTCGCTCCTGAGTCTTGGACGGTCTTCAGGTAGTCAGGATCCCAAAGCCCTCCTCTGTAGAGCTGGATGCAAACGTCCTGTTCTCGATCCCAAGATTGACAAATTGCGTAGTCTAGCAAGAACAGTTTGGAGTTACCGCCCGCTTCCCTCTCCTTTATCAAAACTTCAAATTGCTGGTAGTTACAGATCCAGCTTGACTTTCGCTGCACTCTTTCTTTATCATCGTAGCACAAGATGTACAGGCTAGATAAGGTGATATTGTCTGCAACCAACGAACCACGATCCGTGCCGTTCCTTAAAATTTCCACACCCTTCCCTTGCATTACCTCCAGAAAGTTTACTTTCTCTTGGAGAACTTCCAAGGTCTTCAAATGCTCATTCAGCCCCTCTGAAGAATACTTCGTTCCCTCGAATTCAAGCAGAAATTCAGCAATCTTGCCCTCTTCTTTGATTCCAGACCGAACATCGACCACAAGTGACCCCAAAACATCACGGAACCTCGATGTTTGTTCCTTAATCTCACTCCGCTCTCTGGCTATGCTTGTGAGCTCCTCCTCTGAAATCCCTACCTTTCTGGCCTTTTCCCGTACCTGCTCATAAGTCGAGGTGAGGTCTTGCGTCTTATCCGCCAACCTTTCCAGCTCCTTCTCTACTGCAGCAAATACAGCGCTACTCAGAGTTTTCAAGATGGCTCCTTGCACCACGACTGGGGTCTTCAGTAACTTACACACCGCCTCTACGCTGAGAAGCTCGAGTTCCTGAGGCTTACCCTTTCCACCATTGATCTCGTCGATATGATGATTGCCTCCAACAGATCGAGCAAACTCTAGTGCAGACTGGAAGTCAGTCGGTCCTTCGAAGTTTTGTGGCATGATGTCGGCCATTATTCTCACAGATCTCCTCTCCAGATTCTCACCGCCGTTCTGACTTTTTTTTGGTGTGAGTGTTACACCTCCTTCGACGGGATTCAGTTTGATGGCGTCCAGAAATTTGCCCAGAAATGAGCCAGCCAAACCTGTCTTCAAAGAAGCGTTCAAGCTCACCTCAGCGTTGTGTCGGGTTTCATCCTTAGTCACGCCTTGTTCAAAGACGATCACCCCGCTGTAGCCCCACCCAATTCCTACTACGACGTGGGTAGCAGGCGATTCACGCAACGCTTGCAACCTGAACATCCTCTCTACGTCGGCGTGTAGGAGATTTAGACGCTCCCATTTCGTCACAATTTTGTAAACCAGGCAAATCGTCACACAAGTCGAGTTCGTGGTCACGTTGTTAAGATACTTACTGGCACCGTTGACATCGGCCAAGCCAAGCATGATGCTCAACTTCAAATCTCCTTCTACTTCCAGTGATTTGAACCTTTCTTCTGTCTTCATATTCTCCTCCCATAAAGTATTATGATGAGGCATGTCCACTGTGGACACTGCGCCCTCTGGAACCTCCCCACTCAGTATGAACTCGGGCATGATCTCGTCTTTTACACCTGAATACAACTGCCCTAGCTTGCATGCCCTGTTCAATGCTTTTCGATTCACATTCCGTTCGCCGGTTGAGATCGCATGCTCAACCCTTGGCACCGAGGGCCCTTCATCATCTGAGGTCATTTTTTCCATGTCATGTGGATGTGTCATCAAATTGTTCGATCTCGGAGGACTATCGAACTCCATTCTGCGTGCACAAATGAAAATCGCAGGAAACGTTATCACCGAGTTAGCACTGCGCAGACCTTGCTCCCAGCACTTCAGAATTATAAGTACAGATCAAACAGACAAGTACGCATCGATCATCTCGAGAATATACGAAGCTCAAAACACAAACTGAATATTCCACATATGTAAAGGTAATCGAAACTGTAATCGAAATTCACCTTTGATCGAAAATCGTATCACTTCTCGGCCTGTACAATTTTGTATCTTCTTTTGTACAGTCCGTTGTCAATTCTGTCTCTTGCAAAGCGTGTACAATCGGAGATTGTATTTCGGCCTCTCGGCTTCTCGTAATTTGAGGTTATCACAGTGATCACTGGCAGAATGCTAGAACTTAGAACGAGGCAAATGAGATCAGAAAACAATGAGTATCTAAGAAGGATCTTAACTTTTTGCTGCAAAATTGGAGAAGCAAGAAGCTTCTTTTGGATGTACTAATCGGCCCACGCCTTGCTTTTGAGTGAATCTGTTTAACTTGACGGGTTCAGAGTCTCGGATGCTGGACTTTCAAAACATCATCTACGATTGTCCTCGATATCCTGCACGTCGGACAGCATCTTCGAGGCTCCAGACCCTGCAGTCTTGTTTTTCCTTTTCTGGATCAGTAAACGTCTGTGGATCCGCTTTTGAACCAAGTTCCACTACTCTTCTTCTACACTTACCCACAGCGTTCTCACGAATGTTTATATCCTTCTGAGTGATGAGGAGCTTGAACATACTCTCACAACATCATGGCACGGGGCTGTGTCTTTAACCATCCTTTCGCTCGGACAGTGATTTGTGCTATTAAAAGATATGATTGTTGCGTCGCTTTTGATTCAGATGCTTAATATTCAGATACCTCCAAAATTGATTTATTCGAAAGTTCATCACTGTCTTGGTTACCTGATGCGTCTCAGAATTTTGTGGCAGAAAGCTAGGACTCCTCATGACCCCACTTCCACTTGGCCAGGTTTACGACAAGTACGTACAGTTCGGTTGCCTGGAGAATATCTGCCTTACTGAACCCTCGATACTCCTGAACAATAGTGTACCAAACCATTCGTTGTGCATACTGAAATTGATTTTCCCAGGCTTCTGATTCTCTCTTTGATGAGATTTCTAAAAATCCATTCCTTTATCGAGAATCTCACAGACAATGCTAGATCGCTGTAATTCCCGGGAAGTTCACTTTCTTACACAGTTTGTAGCACGCAAATCAGTGATCCACTCTGTGCTGACAAGCGCGTCATACTTGTGAAAAGGTCTGGGTCAAGCAAGGGATTGTATGTGCGAAGCTCGTAATGCTCACATTATTTCTCCTTCGAGGGCAATTAACAAGAGAAAGGGACCTCTGGTAGTGGCTCCAAGAGTGAGGTACGTGAAATTATTCGTGGGATTGCGGAATCTTCAATTGGATGGAGAGCCTCCACCATGGAAGACCGTATAAGACCCAGTGTCGTATATATTCACGTGCCAGCCCCGAAGAAGAGGATCGTCCAAGTGTGGCTGCCGGTTTCGACTGCTGATGATTAGCTGGTAAGATCTACCAGGCCTCAAGGCCAGGCGAAGCCCAATAGTGAGCCAAGGGTGTGATTGTCCAGACATTCCATGCAAAGTGTAAGAAGACCCTGGGCATAGTTTTGGCGACGATCCTGACGAAAAGTCCCGGCAAAAGCATTTGATTTTTCAGATGAGAAGTGCAACCAATAAAAATACACGATGCTGACCCCTGCCCACATCGGTTCCGAGTCGTAAGATGAGTACTTCCCAGCACAACCCACCCCAGGTCTAGTCCGCTCATAGCAACTCTATTGACGTGGCTGTCAGAGTAAGGCGTACAGGTGGCAAAGAGGAACAGCGGCACATTGGTGGCAAATACTTCCGAGTACAAACAAATTGCTGCAGAGGTATTTCTGCATGAACCAGAATTGACAAAATCTACATAGAGTCGCATGCTGAAACGCTCAGAGCGTCTTCGTCGGTACAATATCCTCATGCACATTTCCGGAAATTATGGAGCGGACACTTTGATTGCGCAAGGGGCCCTTCCTGCACAGTCCATCGTCAAAACTGAGTCGTACCTATCGCCCTTCGTGTCTCAAGCGTGATGATGACAAAGATGCCAGAAAATATAACCACATGCAGTTCCGTACTTGAAGGTGGCTGTCACAGGAAGAGCGACTGTTGTTCTATTCATTCTGTTGTGAGCGACTGTAATCTATTCATTCGTAGTCCAAACTTGATGACGAGGTTTAATTCATGTGGACTTTGACACGAATATTGGATGTGTGCTACAATTTGCAGGTGACAGCGAAGAAGAGGCCGAAGAACAGTGCTTTGGAGGTGGAGCTCGAATTTGATCACAATGCCCGTCCACCCCGTGTCATCACGGAGGAAGTCACAGCATCATTGGAGGACATGATAAAAGCTCGCGTTTCAGACGTAATTACCAGCAAACATGTTCTTCAATTTGCTGGTGTAGGCTGAGTGTCCTTGTGATGTTGATAACCTACCGAAACTGGCTTATTACATGTCGTATTGACTAGACTACCACGAGGAAGTAGATCTGCCTCTTCTTCAACCCTGTGACATTACTCCTGTCGAGGAATTCTCTTGACGGGGTGCTGAAACTAGTTGATATACTTTTGCACAGGGACGTTTTGACGACAAACAAAGAAGATAAGTCGCGGCCGATACTGCATCGAAAGAACGGATTGAATTGGGTATATCAGCTGCAATTTTTCTCATTGCAGTGCTCGTAATGCTTTGTCTGTCTGCACTTTTCCTTGTTTACGGTATAACCAAGGTCTGATCATTTTCTACAGGATGTGAACAAAAGCCAGAAAGGCCTTGGGGAGCTCTATGACGTGAGCTTCTGGGTTTCGCGTTTCTCTTTCTAGGCACTCCCCTTTATATTTGATTTTTGCTTATATTATTTATGGCCTCGTTCGAGATATCACTGCTCTCATCCCTTACATCTTGTGTGCCAGGCCGATTACATGCAGCAAACGGGATGGGCTGTTGCTCCAGCCACCAGCAATGATGACCTGAGAAGTGAGGTATGTTCATTACAGGGTGGCTTGCCTAGAGTCTGAACCATAAATTCTTCTGTGCTGGTTGTCCATATTTCCGTCTTTTGGCCGGACTGGGCTTCTGATTTCTGACTCTGGTGGTGTTTAATCATGCAAAACTTATATTCAAAGCTCTTTGTAGCAGTTTAGATGCACTCTCCCACTTTGCTCCCAAGCCTGTCATTGAGGACATGGGGGTCCGTGCAGACGTACCGGCCCTCTCAATGGAAGAGGTTTGTATTCTTGAGTGCGAGTTTAGGTGATCACATCTCTTTTCATTCCGTGTCTTTCTTGACGCCCTCTGACCCAGACCCCTCTAACCGTAGAGCCTGGGATATAAAACAACGCATAGTTTGTACTTTGATCAGCCATTCTTGTTTGTCCTTGTTTTGAAGATAGCAACTCTTGCAGTTTCAGATGCATCCATTCTTGCACCAGAGGTGTTTACGGGAGACGATGGCTTCAAAGCCGAGCTTGAGGTTACTCCCGAGGAGAGAAAGAGCCGTAGTGTCGTGGATTTGTATTAGAGGTTAGCACCAAATTACTCTCCTATTAGTGTCTATCATTCCGTCTTGTAGCCGGTTCTACTAGGAAAGTGTTCCTTGGGATAATTTTTTTTTTCTTTGCTATATCATTTCATCCATTGTAACTTGCACTGGTAAGTTTTGATTCCGTCGCGGATAGGCAAATCTAGCTCGGAAATACCGCCAACTCTCTCTGCATTCATTCCCCTCCACCAGGTGGGGTAATTCCTTGCTATCAGCAAGATGTTTCTTGTGACCTTTCCTCCTACATTGATCAAACTTGAGAAAACACCTGCAAAAAAAGGTTTCCAATAGATAGATGAATGTATAGTTTACAATGAATGTGTCGGGTAGTACTCTTGTGTATCAATACTGGTTCTTCTACTGAGTAGTGCTTCTTGTCGGAACACAAAAACTTGTTTATATTCCGGTTGGGAAGAAAACAAGCCTGTAATTCTCCCATCCGTGTGATTACGAGTATAGTTCCAAGGACTGGTTAGTGTAATGTCAAAAACTACTCATAATTCTCATCTAATCATACTCCAAATTCGGATATTGATTATCGGCGTCTGATCCTAATCTATTTCCCTCTTTCTCTCTCTTACTTAGATGATAAAATCCCCAAGGTATCCTGTTAGAGATCACTTCACAACTAACCTAGTACTTTCTGGCTAGTAGGTCACACAAGTGAGCCCTTAACGACACACCGATCTGGATCCGTGAGAGCTAGGTTCCTGCGATCTTTGGATGAGCTGTTCCACTTCCGAAACTACTCTTCTCACTGTAGACAAAAACTCTCCAGAAGTTCAAGTGAGCCAAACCGAGTACCCTTCACCCTGCTCTAACCCTAGCGACTGTGTTTTCCTGTGAGAATATTAGAGATCCAAAGAATGACGCTTCAACTTCTACGACAACTTCGACTTCTTCAACACACCAGCGAACCCACGGCTCAATCCTGAAATACTCTCTCCCTCCCCTCCCGGAAGAATTCTATTATTACTCTATGAAATTTCCTTGTACTCCACTCTCGGGATTTCTGTCACTACTTCCTGAAATGTCACTTCCTCCCCTCTTGGGAGAATTCTATGACTAGTCTCCAAAATTCTCTATTACTCCCCTCTCGGGAGAATTCTGTCACTACTCTTCGAAATTCTCTCTTCCATCTCGGAAAGTAAGAGAAAATTAAAATAATTAATTTCCCCCAGAGTGAAGGAAGAGAGCATTTTGGGCAGAAAAGAAGAGAACATTTCGGAAGTAAAATGATAGAGATCTCCCGAGAGGGGAGGAAGTGACATCTCAGAGGGGGTAGGGACATAAAATGTCAGAGGGGAAGAAATAAAGATAATTTTGAAATAAGACAGAAACTTTCGAGCGTAAAGAGTGAGATTCAGTCAGAGGAGAACGAAGTTCAGGCTATAGAAGAACTGAGCATGGTGTGAGGGCAATGTTCAGTCTGAGGAAGAGTCGAAAAGCGTGAAATTAATATTTGGGAAAGTTTTTTTGGAATAAAGTAGAGTAGAGAGTGTAATGGTTAGTGCATGTCAATTAAACTACCCCCGAACTATAAAGCCTATGAGGGAGAAGGTTAAGCTGACATGATGTCAAAAGAATGGTAGATTTTCATTGGAAGTGCATCAGGACCAGATTTGAAATTTTTCTCTTCGTGTCATATTTGACATGATGATCAACTTCTTGCATGATGGACATTGCGTTCTTCTTCATCGAATTGAAAGCAATTTTTTGATATTTCGCACGGTATATGTTCTTCCATTCATCTCCTTCAGTCGTTATTGTTCCTTGTTGTTCTCACCAACACATCTGCATCTTCCAGTGTCTTGTCCACTCTCACACAAGACAAGATTTTGCCCGCCTCCCTGTAGTTTGGTCCATGGAAGCTGTCGGCCACATTAGCTTTTGCCCGCACGTTGAGACTTCTTGTCTTCTTCTACATTTTTACCTTCCATTAATCTAATCTATATCATTCTAATAGTTTCTCTTTGAAGAAATACTCAAAACTCTACTATTCTTTTATTAATTAAAAAACAACCGGGAGCACAAAAGAAAAGAATTCGCGAAGGTATGAGTTCTTCCTCAGCCACTCCCCATCTGCAGCATTTCGTATCTCGGAATGATGTTATGCTTACGAGGTGAGATGGTCAGTAGGTTTCTGCTTTGGGTTGAAGTAGTCCGTCGCAAGATACTCTTTGTGATGTTGGGACACCTTGGAGATACTGTCACAACTGCTGGACGCGTTTAGTGACGGAAGGAGAACATTGCGTGAGAGTACCGTCGTAACAGTTTTGCATAGCTAATTATCTTCTGTCATTGCGCATGTGAACGGAGGACACAAGATCAACTTAAAGCTAGAAAGAGAGTCCGCCCTAGTGGGTCCACCCATGCAGATCCGAAGGCCACACCTGGACTCAAAATTGGCTATTCTCCCTTTTCCAAATCTACAAAGGTAATTGAAGCTCTTCTCTTAGGACTGTTTACTTTCAATTTCACTTCGTATTCTACGGCAGCTAGTAACTATAAGTATAATCAGACCTCTGTTATGAAATAGAAATATATGGTCGCCGGTTGCTTGCGCAAAGTTAATGGTGAGGTACATGAACTTCAAGAGGACTCAGACTTTCTATATCATCATTTGACAGTTTTACATGCCGGGCCTAACTGTGGAGTTGCCTAGGTGCCAAACCCCGGGGGACCGAGGTATATCCGTCCCTATGTTAAAGGTATTCGCAGCTCTCGATAGTGCTAAAGATGGAAAAGGCAAAGTTGCTTCCGGAAAGGACGCGAAACAACTCCCTCCAGCCTCCAATCTCAAGTTGTGATATTACATTGATTTATATATTTTACTTTGAAATGATGATCCCTGGGTACAAAGTGCATTTTGTATTCAAGCAGAGGATGGTGCCTATCATTTGTCAATGTCACGTGTGTTGTATGTCATCAGCACTTCTAAAATTCTTCTCTATACTCGCACGCCATTCATACGCTTGCAGAAATTGCATCCGTGCATGCTTCGCCTTGGCCTTGGCCTTTTCATAGTTTGAAATGTCTCTTAACACTGGGGATCCCTGTTCCGTGACTCTCGCACAGGCTTGCTCATTGTTGAAGGAGTTCATATATTCGTCAATACCCGTAAAGCGATCTTTCTTGAGTACTTGAAAATTGTGCTGTGTACAGTAAATTCCTGACAAGAAATACCTGAGTAGGGAGCTCTCAACGTTTGTCTAATTGTTTAAGTGGTTGGATCATGAGGCGATTACTTGGCGTGAGAGCTCTCTAGTCCTGAGAACTGTCTGATTTAAGCCACTCCTTTCAACCAAACATATGTTGTAATGCGTATTTGTGTTATTTCAAGTCCTGATGGATGGGATATTTTTCAAGAAGGAAGCCTTCTTTCAGGTACTTTCACCCAGGGTTTTGAACTCTTCCTGCGCAGATGCTAAGCCCGTGTTAGCGATGATCTCGGCTCCGGGTGCACTCCGTTGAGTCTAGTGTTCTGTTCATATCCAGTCCTTTTCCAGCAGGCGTCACGAAATCGCATTGCACTATTAATTTTGGTTGATGTTTAGTTTCTCTTGCCAATATCTCCCACAATTCTTGACATATGTGTTCACCTTCTAAAAATTTATTATGGAAAAGTAATAATGTTCACTAACAGTGATAGTAATCAATAAGTTTTAACATAGCATGAGAAGTCAGGAAAGAGCAATAAAAAAAGAAACGATGGAAACAATAATGGTCATCATCATCATGAAGCCAATCTTCACTTTGACTGGTTATAATATTGGTATTTTATTTCATGTTGAAGATAATAAGATCTTCAGATATTACTGTTTTATTGATATATTGCAAATATAAATGTTTCATTTCTTGCATAAACAACATTACTCAAATTTTGAACCATTGTAGGATGACTTTAACATAGAATGATATTAGGCATTTTAATATTAAAATTAATATCATTATCAATATGATGATTATTACTATTTCCTTTGTGAGAACTAAGAATTCATTGAAAAGTTCATATAGATTTTGTATTTGAAATACGTTTGCAAGATTTTTGGGCAAATCAAAGAATCATATATATTACAAATAAAAATATAATCTTGAATAATTTATATGAAGAGTAATAAATTACCAAAAAAAATATCAAATTAACTTTGAGTCCAAGTATTTTAAAATTTTCTTCTTTAACTATAAGCAATCATTTAAGATTGTAAACAATGATGAAAGCATGTCACCATAAATTTTGTATGTGAATTATCAAAGATTTTGTTAAAATATGATTTACCTCATACAAGAGTTAAATTTCAACCAAAGTTGTAAAAGTCAATGAGTTTGCCAAGCATATTCACACAATATTGCATCAAGCCAAAGAGAAGTTAAAGATAGTTTAAAATATACAAAAATAACATATAGATGCTTATCTTAGATAGTTCATTTTTGAAATAGTAAATCTGTGGTTATCTTTAACAAATCTGTCTTTTGCATGAACATCAAAATCTAACATTAGGTTCATGTTTGGTTTTGATACTTGTTGCTGAAATGACATACAAGTTAGAACTTCTATTACATATCAAAATACGTCTAGTATTTCACGTATTAGTGCTTGAATATGAGGAAACTAAGAACATGGCCTTTATTTTTGACCTTGAGAATCTTATAGAAAAAAGTTAAAGCAAATGGCACATCAATTAACAATCATATCGACTTCTATATGTTTTGTACTGTGTGGTGACGTGTGAGCACAAAACTGTGCTCACATGTCTTTTTACCCTTATGAGAGTTGAAATTTTGGATTTAAGCTCTTGCAAAATTATGCTTGGGGTTTTCTGAAAGTTTTGGCAAGATTAGGAGTTGGTGTGATGGTTAGGGGGCAAAAGGTGCGGAAGGGGGCCTTCGGGGCAAGGTCTTCGGCGAAGTGCCTTCGGTGAAGTCCCTTCGAGTAAAGGCCTTCGGCGAAACAGGAAACCCTCATACGTTTTCAATGT